TTGCTTCAAACTGAAACGCCTAATTATTTACATAGTTTATTGAGCAGGCATTCTGACATACATATGGTCCATTTGAGAATCAACTCATTCAACATATCTAGGCACCGTACTTCCAAATTTCAAGGATGTTTTTCTTATATAGCCCCTTCTCATCTGAATGAAATTTTCTCCTTTTTGAATCATAATATTCATCAATTAAAGAAAGAAATAAAATCACAGATGCAGTGATAATTTAAAAAATTGTAAATTCAATGTATGGTAGTGCGATGAAATTGTTAAATTGACCAAAATAATGTTAAGGATTTTAAGAGTTATTAGCAATTATATGATGCATAATTTTTTTCTCTTCTCTATCATTGTTATGATAGTAAATAAGTATGTTCATAATTATACTCACTGTATAATTTTTGGGAGGGGTGGAAGATATCCTTTCGCTAACCCTTTTCCCTTCATGTATAAATGTATTTTTATGTATAATGAACGATATAATAATTATTATTAGTTTTGGTACAGGCATATACCTTCATGGGCCGCACTCGTCGAAATATTTAGCCCGAAAAGGTCACATTTTTGATATTTTGCTTCGCGTTAATATTACCAAAATGAGTTATTTGAAAAATTTGATCCTACATATCAAATTTCTACGTAAAATTCGAATTTTAATTTTTGTTTGTAAGTTTCATATTCAAGTCCGATTTTCTGTTAATGGTTGTGAATAAGGGGATATGAAAATAATAAATTTGTTATAATGCATTTTGCTAAAAAGTATATTTACGGAGGCTGCCGTTTCATGTTGAATACGATTTCGTAGTGGACGTCTTCTGTTGATATTTTGAGCAACCTGTCTGCTCCTTCGAGCAATATCACCAATCAAACTTATTATTAAAATTTTTCTCGTAAATTAGGACGTTCAATAGGCTATTCGTTACTCTTTTTGACGCATTTACTTTCAAACTGAAATTTGGGGTTTAACGATTTTCCATCCAAAATTAGGCAAATCCGCAACCAAACATAGTCACCAGGAAATTGAAATAGTAAAGGACACTAAATTCGATTGACTCACATTTGATAAAATAATAATTTCAGTTATTTCATTGATTTTGTCTATTTTATCATTTCTGTAGCTAT